GAGGAGCTGTTCCCAAAGAAATTTATTTTCTTTAAGTCTTTCAACTCTGGCGGAGAATAAGATGTTCGAAACAATTTATAGGTGGTGATGAAGTAAGTGAAAAGAAATTATTGTGCTGGAGCGGCTGACGAGATATCTTAAAGTAAATCCTATATGCTCTGACAGTTCTTTCTCTTGCAGTAAATGGATTGTGATGCGAAACAATTTTGAAGATGGTGATGAAGTAAGTGAAAACAATGATTGTCCTGAACGACTGCCGGGATATTTCGCCGATGTGACTTCGCACAAAATATCCTGGTATTCAGTTTTGTGCCATTCATGATACATGCTTAGGCGATCATGTATCTTTCGATACATGACTGACGAAGCAGATTTTTTTCCCGCAGTAGGTTGCTATTTCTTTCTGCGGTAGACCAGTTACCATTCAAGGCTATAGAACCCGGTCTGTCCTGCTATTTTCTCATAGCTGAGGGAGAAGAAGAGGATTCATACCTTTCCCAAATAAAAGGCACGTAAATGAATGTAATGGATTCAACTGGAATTCGAACTCGGCTCTCCGATTCCTCAATCCAAGCCCCTATTCATTACACCACAGGTAAAGGAGAAATCTAGTTCCAATTTACACTTTAAATTACAAATATCTTGCAAATGTATTTCTAGTGTTTATTCTGATTGCTTTTTTATTTTTTATTTTGGGGGTGACAGTTTTTCTTTGTTCTATAATGCTCAGCAAAAATTCTGACTCCGGTTTTAAGCCAGATGGGGCAAATGAAACCTCGGTCAATTATATTACGTTAATCATACAAGTAGGATGAGTCTGCTAACCTTTTAAAAAACAGTATCCAGGATCCGTTCTGTTCCAGTCGTCCTTAAAACTTCCTCGTTGCTTACATGGTCTGTCTATGGTATTCCCAGCATTCGTCGGTTGAACCACGCCTGTAGCTCTTACATTCAATACGTCCTGTGAGTGTTAAATTCTCTATGTCATCTTTCCTCATTATGTGTACCGAAAATTTCAGCTATCTCTGAGAGTCTGTCTTTTTTGCTTACGTTTTCGTTAAATCGTCCTAATTTCTCGCATACACCGACCATGGCCTGCGTGGCATTCTTCTATACAACCACGTCTCATTTTCAACTGCGAGTAAATTATCCAGCACCCATTGCCATATAGGAGGATTAATATTATTCAGCAGTTCGACATTCTTTGTTTCTAATGAAATGTCCTGTTTCTTTCTTTTGCTATTACAATTTATACTTTGGATTTCGGTGTCACATTTCCGTCATTTGCTATAACCCACACCAAAATTCCAAATTTTGGACAATTAGTCACTGAATTTTCTAAAAAAAAAAAAAAGAAAGAAAAAATGTCAAGTCATCCGTCATGATGAGTTCTTTGAGTGAAACTCATTCTTTGTAATAATTCACCTAGTAGCCAACATCAGTATTCTTTGTTTTGTCTATTTTTTTTAATAGAAGTAGATATTCTCCTATCGTCTGTTGTATACTCCACCCGACTCTCGTGAATAGGGGGCGAAGCTTATCCTTTGTTCCCTGTTTAGGAAGGGATTCCCGTTCTTTTTCTTTTCTTTGACCTTAATAGTGGTGTTGTTATGAATCTATGTTATGATGTACGTGGCAACTTCTCTTCATATTGAGGATAACAGGTTGGCAGTTTTCTGGTAGTTAAGAGCCCAAAACTCTTGCGGAGCGTCTTGAGAGACTGCTCTGATCAACAGTTGCATAATATCGGGGTTCTTGTAGCGCCATGTCACGAATGGATGGCTGTCCCAGCAAACACTTCCCGTGGGCAACCCCGATGCCACACTATGTTGTAAGTCTGCGCCAGTTCTCTTCTGTCTATGTTACATTCGATGACCAACTGCTACCATTATCCTAGTTCTTTTCCTTACCAATAAAACACATCAGGGCTATAAACAACAAAAGATACAAAAACAACCCAAACCATTTAACCTTTATTTCTCCAATATTTGTGGTATTCGTACCAACTTCTGCATTGTGGGATCGTTCCTCTTCGAAAAGATTGTGGACATCCTAGCTCTCTGTGAAACTAATCTTAACTCGCCAATCCCTTCCGCTGGTTTCTCGATTTTGGGCTACTTTCCTCTAATTAGAAAGAACTCCAAAGTCAACATACATGGCCTAGGAGTTTATGTCCACGAACATCTCACGCTTGCTAGGGAACTCTCTCTTGAATCTCCAGACCATTCGTATATATGTGTCGTGATTTCACAGTGGAGGCTTGTATTTGTACTAAGTCGGTCCTAAAATAGGTTCGACGTACAAAACGTTAGGAACTTGATATAATAGTAACCCTGACGGAAACACTTCTCTTCTCCATCTCTGTTTTACCTCTATCTCTGACTCTTGCCACGCTACCGCAGCTTTGCCCTCTTGGCAAATCTGATCACGCGGTTGTGGCTGTAAAAATCACCTTCTGCTCTCCCACCAGCGAAGAATCCCCTTACCAATAGAATATCTTTCTGTTACCAACGGGCGGGATTGGGACTCGTTCCAAGATTTCCTTCGTGACATCCCTTGGAATTTAGTTTTTAATCATCCCGTTCAAAAATGCGCGTTTGGGGTCTCCTCCAGGATAAAAGCCGGCATCGATGCTTTCATTCCAGCAAGAAAATACCTAGTTAAACGGCGCTTATCTCCTTGGTTCTCACCTGCTTGCTCAGCCACTATAGCCAACAGGAATCAGAGGGACATGTCTGACTGTAACAGGCGCATCTCTTTTTCTGTGCTCGTAACGAGTATAAGCGTGTGTTCAATGAAGCAAAGTTACTGTTTGCTGAGAGAATGAAACAACGTATAGCATCTCGCAAGTTTGATTCCCGTAGTTATTGGTGGCTTGGCGTGCGTGTTTGTGTTATCAACAGCCAATCCTCAGTCCTTCCTCTATTCAATCAATTCGAAGTCCTAACATCTACAGCAGATAAGGCTGAATGCTTTACTCGAAAATTCTCATCCAACTCATCTCTTGACTCATCCGATGTGACCACACCCGACATCCCCCTAGAACTGAGTCTCTACTGAATGATATGTGCATAACTCTGACGTTGGTCTCGGACATCATTTCGAAATTAGACTCCTATAAAGCAAGTGGAGGCGATGGGATACCAGCCATCATCCTAAAGCAATGCGCCCCTGAATTGGCTCCAGTTCTCTCCTAACTCTACAACTATTGCCTCGCTGCTTCCTGCCTTCCAGCCTGTTGGAAGACATCCTCTGTCGTCCCCGTTTTTAAGAACTTCGAAGAACATTCTGACCCCTCTAACTACCGCCCTATCAGGCTCTTATATATTTTCGGCAAAGTCCTCGAGAGATTAATTAATGCCGAAGTGGTTAAGCATCTTACCTCTCACCTCTCTCTGAGAAACAATATGGATTCCGTTTTACCGGGTCTACCGCTGATGTAATTACAGCCATAAAGTCGTAATAGCTCCAGAAGGGATACAAATATTTAAAAGCCTAGTGCATTACGAGAGTATTGAGATGAATTTGGTACAGTTATAATGGCTCCAGAAGGGCTGTACATTTTTTAAATTCTAGCTCATTACGACAGTATTGAGAGGATCTTAGTACAGTCGTAATCACCTAAGAAGGTTTCTAAATTGTTAAAAATCCTTCTTAAGTATGGCAAACATGACTTGGAAAGGTTATTAGAATAATCCGGAATTAATACTGGGAGTAAAACTTGAGGCAACAAAAATGTGGTTCTTCAGGAGAATGCTGAAAATGTCATGAACTGGATATGTAAGTTGCGACAAAGTTTTAAGGGCGATGGAAATAAATGATACTTATACTTATAATTTAAAATAGACCGTTGATATATTTAGGGCAAATAATGAAGAAACTATGTTTGGAGAATCTAACACTCACAGGACATATCTAAGGCACGTGGGAAACAGCAATCAATTTCTAACAAGCTTTTGCAAATAGCTGGCAGAACAGGGAGTGAGAAGGACGAACCTTACTAAGAGCTACAAAAGATAGGAAGTTGTTGAGAACCGTGATCTCCCAAGTCCTGAAGTGACATGATACGAAAAAGAAGAAGATATTAAAAGTTAAGTATGAGAAAAATGTTGACCACCAAGTACGGCTTGAACTCTATACAGTAATGACGACTGGATAAGTATGACAAAACTATGGTTATCTAACGGGCTACAGGGGTAGTGGTCTGAGACATGAAACAACGTATAGCATCTCGCAAGTTTGATTCTCGTGGTTATTGGTGGCTCGGCGAGATCCTCAATCCCTCCTCTATTCAATCAATTCGAAGTCTTAACATCTACAACAGATATTCTAAATATAATGTGGCCACTGAAAAACTGAAGGGTTTGAAAAGGTAATAACTTGTTCATTTTTAATCTTTTTCTTATTATTTTTTTAAAATATTTTTTGCAGGTTACAGAGAATCCCTTGGAGATTAAAATAGGTAAGTATGATGTTCAACAACAAGTAAAACTCAATGAGTTTTTCTATTCTAATGAAAGATTAATTATTCAAACTCAGAGAAAATACCGGCAACATTTTAATGCCAGAGTATCTGCTAGCGATAAAATGATTCGGAAGCTAATCGCCCTGTTTGAAAGAACTGGATCAGTTGGAAATCTTCCGGGAAGATGTCCTAAGCACTCTATGCGCACGCAATGGCGCAGCGGTGGAAGCTGTACGGCAGAGTGTCCTTGAGGATCGATCAGCTTCTACCCGTCTTCGCTCTGCTCAACTAGGAATCGCTAGAACATCGATTCAGAAGATTCTGAAACTGGATTTTAAATATTTTCCACACAAGGTTCATTTGGTCTAAACTTTACTACCCAAAAGATACTCATGTATTTGTAAGTTATTTTTGTCTTATATCATTCAGTCTTTCAGTGGTCACCTTGTATTTGCAGAGCCTAGCTAAGTATGGCAATACTGCGGAATAGTGTGAACATACACGTGGAGATCCTCTCAACCTTCCTCCGACCTCAATGTTGTATTTCTCTTCTTCTCTCTGTCGATGTGCGCAAAAACTGGGAATGGTTCGTTGCACGTTCATAAATGAACGGGAAGTAAAATCAACGCTACGACAGAAAATGCAAGCACGAATCCTGTTTCCAATAATTTGTTTATGTATTCACTGGTCGAGTTTCGTTGGCCCTAGTATTCTCTCTGGTGGGTATGTAAGTGTTATGGTGAAACACACCTATTCTATAGTTAATAGGCTCTTCCACCTAATATAAGTAGGAATAGTAAGAAAAACGAGGGTCAGTCGATGTCGGCTGACCGGCTGAACGGTTGAACTCTCTGCCTTCGGGCGGAGAGAAACCCGAACGAGGCTACGCCAAAGGACGGAGTCTCTTTCAGGGAGGTAAACCGACCCTGAACCCGTTTATACGGGTTTAAAGGGTATATTTTTGGCCGAACCAACGGGCTCGGAGATCCCACGTTAAACCGGCCTTGTGCTACATGATACCCTCGTGGGGGGGTGACTAAATACTAGTCGATGTCGGACGACAGTAGTCGACAGTTAGTCGAATACGAAAGTAGTCAGCGACCACAACAAGATTACTCTGCATAATACCTATTATATCAAGTTCCTAACGTTTTGTACGTAGAACTATTTAGGACCGATTTAGTACAAATACAAGCCTCCACTGCGAAATAACGCCACAACAGTAAGTGACACATTCGTTCCTTCTTCCCACTTACGTCGAGCGACCGCTACCTCCCCCTGCTTCACTCTAACCGGGACACCACTTACATAAGACGTCAAACGGAAACTTCTGACTTCCGAACGAGTGTCACTTGACCCCATAAGTTTTTTTTTTTTTTGTTACTATTTTATTATACTTCGGTCAATTGGATTGCCACTTTGTACACCACACTTCAAAAACTTTATCTTCCGCTCATAAAATCATACGACATTTCAGACTTCGGTAACATCATTTAGGGTCTGCTTGAATTCATGTGCGTTCTGACAGTCTCGTGGGTGTACTTTGCTATAAGAGTAAAAGCCTAAGTGTCTTAAATATTTACAAAGCCTTATTAAGCATGGCTCAGTGGCACAAACGTGAAATTCGCATTGGGGATAGACAGTTTGTTCAGTTGACTTGAATGACTCACACCTTCTCTCGTGATAAAGCTCACAGCTTAACGAGATTGACAGACGCATGAGGAAAGCATGGAAATGATACCTACTAAAAATTAGTGCTCAGAATGTATGATTATTTCTATGTATGTGTGAGGGGGATGAGAGAGAAAAGAATAAAAAAGATATTCTTGTCTGTCTTCTGACGTTACCATCTTTTTTTCATAATTTCGTTCGATTTAAGTAAAAATAAAACATTTTGGACAGTTACTTTATTGACTCGTTTTGATTCGCTATTAATCGGCATTCATATGCTGACTATAATTTTATCCTTCCTCGTGTTTTTCTTTTCTTAGCAAAGAACTGCATGAGGTGATTTTACAGTCTTCTAGGGAACTGATTTTTTTATCCATAGAATTCTCTGAAGACTAGAATGGCGGACAAGATAAATTTTACTAAACTTTTTCTGTTTCGCATTCCCTATAAACACGCATTTTTGAGGGAGTTTTTTTGGTTGTTTTTTTTTGTTTTACTATTCGTCTTTCATTTTAACTCACTATCTCTTTAGCTTTCTCTTTTCTCTTTCTCATTCTCTTTGTTTCTGTCTCCCACTTTCTGACTCTCTTTCTCACTGTCTTTCTCTAAGTCCCCTCTCTCTCTTTCTCTGTTTCTCTTTATTTTATATACCTATCTCGTCCTCGCTATCGTCTTCTCTTTCTCTCCCTCTCTCTCTCTCTCTCTCTCTCTCTCTCTCTCTGTCTCACTCTTACTGACACACTCTTCTTGTCGCTCTTTATTTCTCACTCACTCTCTCTCTGTTTTTCAGTTTCTCTCTCTGTCGAACCATCTTTTCTAACTCTCTATCTTTCTTCTTCATTCTATCTCTGTCTCCCTCTCTCTGTTCTTCTTTATTCTATATGCTTCTCATTCTCTTTCTCTTTCTCACCATTTTCTTCTTTTCTCTTGATATCTCAATTTCTTTCTCACTATTTTCTTCTTTTTGTTTCACTCTTTCTCTCCCTCTCTCTTTCTCTATATGTCCCTTTTTCTCTGTCTCATTCTCACTTTCTCTCTTTTTGTTTCTCTATCTTTTGCTTTATCACTTTGTCTCTCTCTCTCTATCACTCTTTATTCTATATGTCTCTCATTCTCTTTCTCTTTCTCATCATGTTCCTCTTTTGCTCTTTCTGTCTCACTGTCTTTCTCAGTATATCTCTTTTTCTATGTCTCACTCTCACTTTCTCTCTTTTTGTCTCTCTGTCTTTTGCTCTATCACTTTTATCTTTCTCTCTCTCCCTCTCTCTTTCTCTTTCTGTCACTCTTTATTCTATATGCCTCTCATTCTTTTTCTCACCATTTTCCTCTTTTTTCTCTTTCTGTCACACTCTCTTTCTCCTTATATGTCTCTTTTTCTCTGTCTCACTCTCACTTTCTCTTTTTTGTCTCTTTCTGTCTCGCTTTGTCACTTTGTCCCTGTATCTCTCTCTCTATCTATCAATCTCTCTCTCTCTCTCTCTCTCTCTCTCTCTCTCTCTCTCTCTCTCTCTCTCTCTCTAGCACCTTCCAACATCTGTATCCATCTCGTATTGATCCATACATGACTATTTGACAGACGACCCGCTATCACAAAGTCGCGAAAAGTCAATCTCAGGTATCCTTCCGAGATTCATTGCCGTTGCTTCCAAGGTCATACACCGATGCACACCTGTCTACTTCCGTCTCTAACTTAGCGCACTTTCTGTACACCTACCCACGTCACTCAATCTGTTTTTATCTTTTACATATTCTTTCATTTAATCTGTCCTTTCACAACGTTTCAAAATTGAATTCTTTTAAAAATGACTCCATCCCCTGTTTTTATTTTTGTTTTTTTCGGTGGTGGGATATCCACGGTCCTTCATTTCTTGTTATTTCCCAACTTCCGTTGTCGTCTGATTCCTTCATATTGACTGTCGTCTTTTTCTCTTCATTCTTTTGTACACGTCTTTCTTTCGTTTTGTTGAAATACCATCTACCAATTTATTTAATCCAAAATCTCCAAACTCTCTCTCTCTCTCTCTCTCTCTCTCTCTCTTTCTTCTTCCTATTACTTCTCTTCTTTCTATTCTTTGTCACTTTTTCTCTTTTCTTCCTGATTTTTTATCTCCCTTTCCTTTTCATGCTCCCCCCCTCTCTCTCTCTCTCTCTTATTCTCTTTCTATTCCTGCGCCCTTACTCGACTTACTGCACTATTTCTTCTTCTTACTCTCTCTCTCTCACTCACACTTTCTCTCTCTCTCCCTCTATCTGTCTTCTTCTTGCACTCTCACTTCTTTCTGTTCTCGCTCTCTTTCAGCTCTTCTCCCTTCATTCTCTCTATCTACTTTCTTGCTGTCTTTCCTGCTTCCTCACACTTTCTTTCTAATATCTCGTCTTCCTACATTATTCTTCGTGTGTATGTATGTATTAAATTTTTTTCATACCTCTCTGTCTCACCCTCTCTTTCTCTCTCAACATGTTTATGTCTCTATCTTCCCAAATTTCTATGTTTTTGTTCATATCTATCTATCTATCTATCTATCCATCTATCTATCTATCTATCTATCTATCTATCTATCTATCTATCTGAGTCTGTTCATATATATCTATCTAGCAAGCTAGCTGGCTGGCTATTTCAGTTTGCCCATATCTATTTCATTCTGTTTATCTATCTATCTATCTATCTATCTATCTATCTATCTATCTGTCTGTCTGTATATCTGTTTGCCTGTCTATTTATTAATTTAGACGATAGATAGGAACAGACGATCACAGTCTCTTCCTATCTATCTATCTATCTATCTATCTATCTATCTATCTATCTATCACAGCCTGTTCATATCTATTCATATATGTATCTATCTACTACAGTGGATTGACAAGTTAGTAACTGAATTTTGATCTGAAAGTTTCACTATATAATGTTCAGTCTATGTGATTAATATCCGCGACTGAATTAAGTGCATTGCCAAGAGAAGTGATACTGCAGAAAGTTAAACATTTGTTCAGTAAAATATTTTTCAGCATTTTGCCACAGACTTATCGATGCAGACTATCATGAGACTGGAGCAATAAGTCCGCAGCCAGTCACACTTCCATTAATTAAATTTTCATCTGAATATTTTACTGTGTCACATTTAATCTGTCTAACTCATGCAGAAGTATTAAGTGCATTGACAAGGAAAATTATATCAGTTTCTTCCTACATCTTTTCTTTCATATCTCTCACCCTCTCTCTCTCTCGCTTTATCTGTCTCTGTTCATAGTTCTCCTTTTCTCTCTCACCCCCCTCTGTGTGTGTGTGTTTGCGTTCTTCTACTTCCCTGTGCCTTTTCTATAAATTTTTTTCATGGTAATTGTTCTGATGACTTCTCTGTGGTAATTAGACTTTATGAATTTAAGCGCAGTACTAGGTTGGCGCTAAGGTCTCATCCTCCTTAGAGTTAAAATGGCTAGATGTAACCGTAGGTTCCATGCTAACATTTTCTTCTCTCGCACTTCTCGCTTGTGGAACTCTCTTCCGGCTTCTTGCTTTCCAGTCACATTTGATTTCCAAAAGTTTAAATCCAATGTCAATCTTTAGCTTCTGTCTTCTTAATTCTTTTATAGTTCTCTCTCCTTAATAATGCTTTTCTTTTTCTCATATTCTTTCACACTTGCGTCTTAGTGGCTTTATTGCCTTGCTTGAGATGAGATGATTAAAGCATTTCTTTTGATATTTCAACCCAATTAATGTATCTCTTTACTGACAATCACGGTCGGTCAGTGTTTGCCATAAATATTTCACTCGCCACCTGAATAATTCAAAATAATAACAAGCCGAAATATTTTACTGCGGTGCATTTTTTTTTTTTTTTGTTGTTGTTTTGTTTTTTTTCTCTTCATTTTAGTAGCCATCTTGTTCTGTCTAATACAACATCCGAATATAAAGTTGGAATCGGAAATTCTTCAGCCTGTATCGTATTCACCAGACCCGCAACTTTCAGGTTGACCAATGGTTATGCTCTACTGAAACTATTCCAAACCATTATAAAACATCAGTTTCGCTCTTCATTCGAAGAATTCTTTCGGGAATTATTCACTCTCTTGAAATGGTTCTCTTTCAGTATAAGTGAAAGGTGGCATAATTTTGTCGAAATATTGTAGAATATTTTGTGACTTGAATAATGATAACAAATTTCGTGAAATGTAAGCCAACACAACAGATGGGAGATGTGTTTGCGGTCCTCTGTGAGCAGAATCAGCATTAAGGGTTCGAGTACAAGTAACAGCGAGGTATTTTTTTTGTTTTGTTTTGTTTTTATTTTATTACAACAGACAAATATGTTTAGATAAATAGATACATGCATACATACACAGAGACAGAGATAGATATGAACAAACTGAAATAGATAGATAGATAGATAGATAGATAGATAGATAGATAGATAGAAATAGACAGCTGGGTAGATATATATAAGCAAATATATATATATACAGGCATAAAAACAAAAAAAATAGATAGATAGATAGATAGATAGATAGATAGATAGATAGATAGATAGATATGAATAAACTGAGCTAAATAGATAGATAGATAGATAGATAGATAGATAGATAGATAGATAGATAGACACACACATGCATACATACGTACATACATACATAAAAACAAAGATAGATATGAACAGATTGAGATAGATAGACAATGAAAAGACTGCGATACATACATACATGCATACATACATACATACATACATCGAGACCATGATAGATAGATAGATAGATAGATAGATAGATAGATAGATAGATAGATATGAATAAACTGAGCTTGATAGATACATATATACAACATACATATATACATAAATAAAAACATAGATATGAACAGATTGAGATAGATAGATAGATAGATAGATAGATAGATAGATAGCCAGCCAGCCAGCCAGCCAGCCAGCCAGATATAGGCAATAGCTAAATTTTAATCTGAAATTTTCACTGTGTAATATTTTATCTAATAATATCAATAGTGCAGATATATTTGTTTAAGTGTATTGAAAATAGATTTGTTTATATTGAAAGATAAAAAAAAATAAATATTTTCTTCGTCATAATGCTGCAGACTTTTCGATGTACCTCCGTTGATAGATCGATTCGTATCAACTGGCATTTAAATAGATTTGAAGAAAATCGGATAGATAAACATTTTTGCTACAAAGAAACACCTGCACTGCAATATACACACATTAAATCCCCTAAAATTCGCATATCCCGTCAAAGCATATTTTCGTAGTAGCATCCATCTTCGGCATGATTCCGTCAGGAGCCCACGTAACCGAATACGCCATTCCATCAATTCACGCATCGCTACAGCAAAAATAATAATCTAAAGATAGGAAATAACCGAAGCGAACCGGTAAACGTGAAAGTAGTGGCTTCTGTACGAAATCAATGACAACCCAATTTCAAAGTTAATACTGTGGATTGATGTACAATCACAAGTTTCATACGACACCGTCATTTTCCTAGCGGAATTTAACTTCTCATACATTAGGCGTTACGTCCGTCTCCCTGTTATATGGGGGTCTACGCGAAGATATCTATAGAACACGAGTTTAATCAGTAACAACGATCAGGTGTAAATCCATGCTTTTATATGGCGACATGTACACGCGTTTCTATGGGTATTGACGAGGCTTAGCTTAGTCTGGCTCAAGGCCGAATAAAAGGTAACCGTGAAAACAATAGTCACTTTTGTCAATCCTCGTAGCGATATACGGTGATGCTCATTAAACAAGCTAGTAAAAAAAAAAGGTCATTTAATTAACACGATAGCTCAAAGTACTTGGAGGCAACGATCTTTTCTATGTGCAATCAGTCTCAACTGAAATATTTTGAACTGGGACGAGTGTGGGCTGGGAGCTGTGATGTTTAACTTTTCCTAATTGATCTGGCAGGATGCTGCCACTCAGTTTCTCCTTTCGTCTGTTCATATCTATCTATCTATCTATCTATCTATCTATCTATCAAAATCTGTTTATTGCTGACATATATGGTCTAATGCCTCGGGGTTCTTGATAGGCTCCAGAGGCAGATATGCAATATAATTGGCCCTGCTCTTGCATCTCGTCTACAGTCACTTTCTCACAGACGCGCCGTCGCCTCTCTCTGTCTGTTCTCCAAATACTTTCATGGCAATTGCTCCGAGAAGCTGCATTCGCTGGTTCCCAGATTTCATGAGTTCAAGCGCCCTACGAGGCTGGCATCCCGCTCTCACCCTTTCACTGTCGAAACTACTAAATGTAGCCGTCTCTTCTACTCTAATAGCTTCATGTCTCGCACCTCTCGCCTGTGGAACTCCCTTCCCTATTCCATTTTTCCTGAGAGCTATAATCTCCAGCTATTCAAGTGTAATGTCAATCGACATCTCCAGTTGCCTTGATCTATCTACTATCCTTCTCCTCATCCTTTCTTCTATCACTCCTACCCCTTGCGTCCTAGTGGCTTCCTGCCTTACTTGAGGTGAAACGCTTAAGAAAAAAAAATCTTTATTCCTTTCTATCCAATTCTCTCTCTATCTATCTATCTATCTATCTATCTATCTATCTATCTATCTATCTATCTATCTTAGTATGTGCATACCTATATGATACAGATATGGGTAATCATGGCACCCCACAACTTTCTATCTTTTTTTTTTAATTTCTAGGTATCCTTTATCGTTTTAGCATCCTTTATGTATAATTCTTGTTTACCGAAAAAATAAATTTAAGTCAACGCCTTGCTGTTTCCCACAGTCTCTTGCTTTCAGTATTTCCTGAGTGCATATTTTGCCAGATTCTCTTACCTTGTTAAGTGTTTTAGAAATGATTTACTTATTGTTGTCGTTCCTATTGCCGTAAAACCTCCTCGTTGTTCACATGTTCGGTCTTTGGTATTCTCAACATCCTTCTGTAGAACCTCACCACCGTCGCTTCAAGTCTCGTTTTCACCTGAAAGGAGATTATCCAGAATTTACGTATCTAGCAATTCAACACAGTTTTCTTTGTTTCTAAGGACGTTTTTCTATCTCCTAATACTTTTCTTGGTTTCTGAAAGACATCTTTTGAAGTTCGCCTCCGGGCTTTTGTGACTCACTACTGTTATGGGAACTTACCCATAATAATGGACTATTCCTGACATTATAAATATTGCACCTCAAGAGGTATGAGGAGATTGTAAGACGAGGAGAGATAATTGAGAGCATATTGTAAGGACATTGGAATAGTGATACTTGTCGAGACAACAGAGTTCACTCTAACCAAATCTGATAGTCACTACTTCATTACTAATACTTCTACTTCTTTGTATTATATTTCTGTTGTAATATATCTTTGTATTCCATACTTGTGTTCGTGTTATTCTTTCATTGGTTCTAACCTTGGACCATCGCCGTGCTACAAGAAACTTGGACCATAACAATTACCCAGATAGGTAAATTTCCTGCTTCATTTTGACATTCACAAAAACGTAGCTCATACAGTGGGCTACCTCTTTTGCTGACAACTACGCATTCTGTCTTCTTGCAATCAATAGTTAGCCTCGTCTTGAGTATGGCGATTAACTACATGCGGCAGCAAGGACTCTGACCAGGAAATTGGCGGTTTTGAAGAGCGTGGAACCATCTCTTAACTTCTGTTCTTCTCAGGTCCACCCTGACCCGGGGTATTAGCACATTTTAGGGTCGCAGTTATTAGGGGTCCCCTAAACGTAAACAAAACACCATGAAAAGTAAAAATACCGGTGATACATTTTTATATAATAAAAATTATAAACAGTACATATTTTATAGCAAAATGACTAAAAAGACATTTATCTATAGCCATATAAAATTGTGTTCAAAATGTTTAGGTTCATATACAGTTAAAAATCAACCAAACAACGAACATGAAATAATTTTTTCATGACATCCATCCATATCATATAGTAAAGAAATCAAAATGTACGCCAAAATATAACTTCAGCAAAACTACAACATAAAACACACATATCACCGCTTCTGGTAATTATGTCCACACACATATGTACCGGGTGTAACAGCAAAATTGTCCAAATCGTGTAACAGCATGGGATAATTGTCCATCACAGAAAATGTTTAATATCTAAAAAAAATCACTAATCTAATTGAGTTTCTTTTTTCCAGGTTTTCAGATAAGACGTTTAGCCATCTTGATATCATATCTTGTAAGAATCACTGAAAAACCCTTTGAGTTATTCAGCTAGAAATAAAACAGGTTAAAATCGTTTTATGTCTTTACTAACTGAACAATGGTGAGAGGAAAAAATCATTCAGACCATGGTACCAACATTCATACTGTGGCTTCCATCTTCAAAGTTCATTAAAGAACCATCAAGAGAACGGTGAATGAATATAAAAAAGCGGGAACAATAGAGAGGAAAACTGGATCAGGAGGTCACAACAGGAAGAGAGATCATCATTTCAGCTTATAGCTAAATACATTCTTATTGTTCAAAGTATAGTTCAATAGTGTTATAAAAACCTCGGAGAATTCCAATCAGATATCTTTAATCATTTTTAAGATATAACGGTTCAAAACTTAATCTAACAATTGGACAATTTTGCTGTTACACGATTTGGACAATTTTGCTGTTACATGCAGTATATGCACAAAAGTTGAGTATCATCTACGATGTATTCAATTTTGAAAACAGGATAACGTGATTTTTATTACTTCAAAACTTTCTAGAAAATTAAATTTCGGCATTAAAATTACCCATAAAGGAGTTCATGTGCCGTTAAACAAACAAATAATTAGTCCTTTCTTCTTGCTTTTCTAAGAGTTGTTACAGATTCTATTCTATAGTCAGTATCATCTGCATATCTTATTTTAAGAATCTGACCGCCACTAATTAACTCTGGTGTGTATTCTCTTTTTTTTTTAAGTCATTTCACCCCATGCAAAGCAATGAAGCCACTAAGGTGCAAGAGGTTATTGTGTGCGAATATGAGAAAAACTACTATTAAGAAAAGAGGACAGTAAAAAAAAACAAGAATTAAGAAAACAAAAGATAACGATTGACATTGCATTTAAATTTTTGAAGATCAAAGACCACTAGGACGCAAGTGTTAGAGAATGTGAGAAAAACTACTATTAATTAGAGAAGGATCAACATTGTTGTCGCTTCAAGTCAAATTACTGAGGAAATTGCAAAATCACTTTACATGTTCGCTAGACTCTAGTGTACCAGATCTTGTTCCATGTTGAGAAGTTCTATTTATTTAACTTAACTTCGTCTGGCACAAGACCACGTGTGTGGGACACCCAGAGGGGACCGAAACGACTAGACAATAGAAATGTTCATGAATGGCAATGAATGTTGGATAATTTCCTCACAGATGAAGAGGCGAACAGAAGTGTGGTTCCACGGAAGATTGCTGAGGATAGCCTGATCAGAGCACGTGATCAACAAGGCATTTTTAAGGAATAAAGAAAACAAAAGAATTTAGAACCAGAAAGAGTTAATTGAAATTTTAGGAAGACATAATGAGAAAAATGGGCTCGGAGAATTGGACACTAACGGGGATACATGGAGTGCTGGGCTCAATTATTGGGCCTGTTGATGTTTCAGTACATAATACAGATGTGCAAGAATTTGAATAAATTGGGAAGGAAGAATGGGAGAAAAAATTGCAAGAAGCTTCTAGACGGCTACCAGAAATATTTGAAGACGGCCATAGATGCCAAAGAATGGTACAACAAAATATTAAGTAGGAGTGCATTTATTATTCTAAGGCATTATTTGGTTTTTCCTCTTTAAAATTACAGCATGAAAAAATGAAATGGTGCCAATAATGGTGACCAGAACTGCAATTGCTATGATGTCATTAAAGAATAAATTACAATACATGAGTTTGAATTTTGTGTAGTGACTTTATTTACTTAAAAGTCAGACAATTGCGTAAAACAATCTTTCTAACAAGAATCTGTTTTGCATATTTATAATCTACCATTTGTCCGTGTATGAATCTGTTTTGCATATTTATAATCTACCATTTGTCCGTGTATGAAATATTGCTGTCAAATCTGGTCAGGTGCTTCTGCTAGGTGTCTAGAGATTCTTGACAGAATTCAAAGAAGAATATCTATGGAGTCAGCTGAAATCTGCCAT